CCTCTGACTACCCCTTGGGGAAAAAAGGAGTTAATGTAATGTTATGTGAGACCAGGATAACATCAGAATCAGTAACTATTTTAATTACCTTTCTAGAGGTAGTAAACAGCTTATAAAAATAAATTATATTTATCCTCTTGTCTGGTAAAAGTTGCGGGTATAATGTGTTTTATATCGGGAGCCGGTGTTTCAACCGATAAAAGGTACTAGCAATTTTACTAAACAATAATAACCCATACAATAATTCACCGAGCTTCGAATGTAGCAATACGATTGATGTGGTACTTTATAATATTAAGATTATACAAACAATGGTTCCATAGTGTGAACTTTATGTGTGGGAAATATAGCTTTATTCTTTACTGTGCTATTTGATATGCATATTACCGCAATGTAGAACAGTTTGAATTTATAATTCTTTGTTTGTTTATTTTAAGATTGTGTTATTTATATTTAACTGGTTATTATCTAAGCGGTCACCGGTGATCGCTCTCCACTATAGATATTATAGACCTTATTTCCAATGTTTAGAGACTACTTTGAGGGAGATGTTGTGAATTTTTCATAATTGGATATAAAGAAGTATATTCCTAATTTGTTTTGTTATGAGAATGGTTAACTTACAATTCAGATCGGTATTGAGTATTGAGAATAGATTCAAAAATTAAATTAATATAAAATCTTTTATGTAGGCATAGGAAAAAATGAATTTTGTGTCAGTTCCTTTTATAAAGTTACCTGTGATGTATCATTTATTTTTTTTATTCCATGACGGTGGCAAAGAAAGTACGTGGTCCACCTGGTGGGCAATATAATGAGCATAGGGGTAAGTTTTATTACGTACGATTACGATATGCCGGGTGTAAGACTCCGTACTTATTAAAAAATACGTACGTATTAAAAACTCTTTACCCCATTAAAAATCACAATCATTCTTAATTATTTTATTTTAATATATGTAGGTACTTGTAAGGAATAAAGCTAAACTAACCTAAATATAGGTAGAAATAAAATAAATAATAAATAAATCGAGCTTCATCTCTTAATAAAGTAATTCTTTCATAAATAATTCGATTTATTTTGTGTGTGGCAACGTTTATTTTTAATAAAATAAAATACCAACGGCGCATCAATCGAACATTTCTAAAAACCGCTGCGTTTGGACCGCCGCGTTTAGAAAGCTCGTCTGTCCAAATGAACTCAAAGACTCATTACATCAGAGGTCATGAAACGAAAAAAAAAAACCGAAAACAATAGTTTTCTTTTACACAGTTCTCACTCGTAAAATAACAAATATTTGACCCTTAGAATTAGAATAGCATACTTACCCGAGTTTTAGGAAGTATCCATTATGACTTAATACTAACGCATAGGAAGTACCCATTGTAGTTATCTCGGGTCATAATGAACCCAAATTGGTCTATTGTTTACGCCGTTCAAGTCAATGGGCGTTAAAACGAAACAAAACCGTCAATTATTGTATTGTATAACTTATCTCCGTGAATTACGGTGTCAAATTGGTTGACATGAGATATTTATCTTCAGTTTCATTGTAGTAAACGGTGTTGTATTATGTATTTTGTTGTAAATATGACAGTTTAGAGATCAGTACAAAATGGAAGGTTTTTTTTTTTAAGTGGGCAACATCATCGAATGGCTTCTCCCGCCTGGGTGAGGCGGGAGGGAGTGTCAGACTCTTACTGACTAAAAACCACCCCGTACTTCGAGCCGGAGCGCGTATCCCCGGTAACCCGTTAAGTTCTCCGCGGCTTCGTATCGGCATCAGCCCTATTGGGCCCCATCCGTGGTGGTCTGATGGCTCTTAGAGGCGCGCGCGGAATGCAACGCGCTGCACGCTCGGGCCTGGTTCAGGGGGCTTACTCTTGAATCCAATTCCGATCGATCGACATTGACATTGTGAAATTTCGTACTCTTGAGTTGCAACATTAGCGCTTATTGCATTCGTATTGCGTGAATATTTTATGAACTAAATAGTATTGAGTTTGGCTTTATATTCCGCACTCTGAATGCAATTTTAACAGCTACGATAGGGGTTGTATAGTTTTGACATTGAATCATTATTGAGATTTTATTGGATTGAAATTGCATTGACATTGAGATTGGTTTCAAGAGTAAGCACCCTGGTTGGGCGGCGAGCTACCCAAGCTCGCTGTCCGCAGGCCCGAAATGGAAAAGTTAGAAAATATAAATACCATACAGTGCAACGTAACCTTTTGTTTCTACACATGCAGATAAAATCGTTTACCTAGATCATTTATCTTAAACAGAAATTTAATCATTCAAGACTAGGAATTCTCATGAAATTATTATGACATGAAGTCATTGAAAAAACTGACATAATGCATATTTCATTATTTTACATCACAGAGTCTACATAACATATTTATAATTAAGTTTTTATAATTATGATTACTATCGATCTACTTATTTAAATTATATTATTTTTAAATTTAGTCTGTTGTGACGGAAGGTAAATAATTATATTATGACAGACACGTAGTAAGTGGCTCTGTATGGTATGCCTTCATGGGATTTTTTTAAGGGGGTAAATCATCGAATGACTGCTCCCGCCTGGGTGAGGCGTGAGGGAGTGTCAGACTCTTACTGATTAAAAACCACCCCGTTCCTTCTCCTGCACGTCGAGCCGGAGCTCCGGCTACCCGTTAGGTTCTCCGCGACTCCGAATCGGTATCGGCCCTATTGGGCACCATCTGTGGTGGTCTGATGGCTCTTTGAGGCGCGCGCGGAACACGATGCGCCGTACGCTTGGGTCTGTTTCTGGTCGGACGGGGGGCCACCCATGCTCGCCGTTCGCAGTCCCGCGCTTACGGTGGCCGGAGATCGTCCCGCGATCCCCGACGCCCGGTGTGTCCTTCGCATATTCTACCCAATAGGTTTTTAATATTCCTTCTTTTTCTATTTAAACGCAGGGCATGCCTTCATGGGATAAATGTGTGATTTGTATTATGTGTATTTATTTGTTTCCTTATGGCATCGAGCATTTCTTTCTTTATTGAAACAAAGAGTTTCCTTTTTCTTGTATAGAAGCACTATTTCTATGGATTGTCAGTATGCATATGTGAGCACCATGACTTAAGATCTTTATTATTTTTATTTTTATTTTAGTAAGTTAGTAGTATAATGCGTCAACGTGTCTTTGCATTGTTCTTACATATGCGTACAGTATTGAAATATGTATCAGAGACATTGTAGAACATACTTTTTTAAAAGAGTAACGAATGGAGTTTCTTGCTCGTTCTTCTCCATTCGAATCTACGTTTTGGAATGAGCACCTAGCTTCACCTAATTTCACTGACGGACTGACTGACATACTATTATTTATTTTGTATTTGTTGACGTTTCAAAAGTACCAAACTATAGTTTAATTGAAATAAATGCTTTGACTTTGACTTTGACTTTGACTTTATTAACACGAACACATAAACCATACATACATTAGCATGCATACAAACTATGTATGCTGATGTCTTTAAGGTTCCATTTTTATGTCAAGTGAAACATTACTGATTTTTTTTAATTGTCCATCCTCATCTTTAACTTATAACAGTTTACAGTCTATTGTCGGAATAAAGGTCTACTTCTTGCTAGGTCAGATTGTTGTTTAAAGGCTCAGGTTTATATCAGAGAGCGCTGGAGCCTGGTCTCTGTCAAACGTGTCGTCCCTTAAGCTAAGAATTCACGAAGCGATTTTTTCCCGCGCCTGCCGCGGTTGTCGGCCGGTCTGAAAGTCAACTGATTGTTTACCCGGTCTTGCGATAGTCAATCGCCAAGTTTGCGGGTGATAATCGCAACCGCGGCTACGCATCCACAGAAAACAGCGGTATTGTTAATTGCGGTTTAAAAAAAATAATTTCCATTCCGATCGCGTCGTGAGTCCTTAGCGTATGTCGGCTCTTATGACACTAATGATGATGAGCAAGAAGAGTAGGCTGTCCTTAACTTTATTTGCATAGTCACATGGCTTATGTTACTATTTTACCTTCACTTGAACACGAAGTATCATACCAATTGCTCTAAATTCTACCTCTACATACTTTTAAAGCCTAGTCTAGCATATATCGGATGATTGCAACATTAGGCTCAGGTTACACGTACAGTAATTGTTCATTGTGGTACCCAGGTTTGATTCCCAGACTTATCAAACAATAGATTTATCTATCTGGTTATGGTAATTAAACCTTGACTTGTTTTACTTTGATCTTTGATTTGATTTTGAATTGAGGTTAGTTTTGATCAAACTTGTCTAATGTTGAGAGTTTTAGACTCAAAATGTTTATAGTCAATTGTTTTTACTTTTATTATCTAGTTTAGGAATAGAGACTTAATCTGTTTACTAAACTTATAACGTGGGAGAAGAATGGGCCGGTTCGACCGCAATGATATCACGGCGGTATAGAAGACCGGTGAATCAATGTTAGCGTTTGATTTCACGATGTGAGTGAGGTCATCGGACTTTACTCCCAAGATGCCAATAATGCATTTTTAATGGGATAAGCTGAACAGAACAGACAGATCACCTGATGGTAAGCAATCGGCACCGCCCATGGACACCTGAACCACGAGAGACGTTACAAGTGTGTCACCAGCCTTTTGGAAATTTGAGGATTGTGAGGGATTCGTATTTCGTAAGTATTACTGGGATTTAAAAAAAAAGTCTCAGTAGTGCTACTGTTTGGAGGTTTTGCGGAGACTGGAATTGTGCCCGGTAGGTATATGTCAATAGGCTTCCCACCCCCTATTACATGGGACTCATAACATAAATAGTGAAAAGTGGATGTTACACTGTACAGTGGCATTAATTGCTGTGATGTGCACCATCTACCTCTTCGGGGATAAAAGGCGTGATGATGTTTCTTGTTTCTTGTCCATTGTCCAGCAATGGACTAACTTTCATAGACTGTTGATGATAATCAAATGTCGAAGTAAAAATATTTAACGTTCTTTTTCTCTTCTTTCAGATGGTGCGCTTATGCGCTGTAGTGGCGTTATGCGCGCTCGTCGCGTGCGCCGGCGCTGCCGAGAGCTCCTCTCGTTTCCGTAAGTATCATTATTAATTCTAATTTAAATAATAATCGCCACTTTTAATACGCACACTACGTTTTTTAATTTATATAATATGCAAATTGTTTTAAGCATTTTTATTTTAAGAGTTTAGAAATTAATAGAGCGCGTTATACCTCTATGTTAGGTGTTCGGTATTAATGTAAGTAAATTATAGAATTGTTGCTTAATGTTAGTAAAAGTGTGATAGGTTATGTCTCGTTGGTTCTTGTAAGTGTGACTGCCAAGTACTAGATCTCGGGTTCGACTTTTTAGTTTAAACTGTCAAACACCAAGCGGTCACCGGTGACCGCAACCTTTTGTTCTATAATTGTGTCTATAATGACGGGACTCGACGTGTTAAAAAGGTAATTGAAATTACAATTTGCCCATTAAGCTTTAATAAATCATCCAGGTGCAAAGATAAACAGATGCAGTACCTAACCTGACTATTGTCTGTACCAATACAATACTAGATCAATAGTGACAAAAGGTATTTAATCCTTTTTTGAAGAAATCAATTATCTACTCCAGGGCTGTGCAAAAAAGGCCCGCGGGCCGCGACACATATTTTAATCCCAACATCTCCATCTTATGTGTAACAACAATAATAAAATTCAGTCTATGATTTGTATTCAACATGTAACGTAATTAACACACACCCTCAAACACCCCAATTAGAATATTATGTTATAATCATAACACATACACTAAATTTTTAATTTAACATGTATATGCATCCTTACTGGTCTTGTCATAAGGTTTATTTTTCTTTATTTTGTATTGAATGATAGAATTTGTATGAATAGGTACAAATAAAACTGCGATTTTAAAAGTCTTATTGCTTTGACTTACGGTTCATTTCGATTTGTTTTAACAATACAGGGTTAATATGACAATAATTTCCGTAGTTTTAATTATTATTGGAATAAAAAATTACCTGTACTAAAAATTATATAAATCGATTCAGTTAACGATTCTGAACAAACTATTTTCAGGATGTGCGTTATTTAAGTTACATGTTGTATAAGTTTTGTCTGTGAGTAAAGAATACAATGTTGAACGTCATTATACAACTGAAATTTATCTGGCCATCGAGCTTTCGTAAGAAATTTAATTCGCCCGCGAGGGTATATTTTGGACAGCCCTGATCAAGTCATTCGATGATCACTAGCCTAATTGTTAACGATTTAGAAATGTTAAAAGCAATTTTGAGCCTTAAGAGTCTCTGTTGAAGAGCATCCTAACGATAGTAGTTAGGTCTTTCGGTGGCCATTCACAATATTAGGACATACTCAGGGTCCGACAAAAACAAAAGACGAACAATGTAGTAGCCATATTATTAGTGGACAATGCACGCTGTGAAGTCTGCGTAAGACTTGAGCAAACAAATATTATGCGTTTCGCACATATCCTGGACAACTTATGTCATATTTCTATGTACTTATTGTTTACATTGTTTGAAGTATTTACTTGACTCTGTAGGGTTGCCATTATAAGCTGTTAAGATGGGTAAAGTCTTGACTTGAATATTTTAAATATATTCAATACCTATTTAAAATTAACTTAAACGAATATTAATATTATAAATATAGGTAAATAACTAAAAACTAAAATATTTAATCTTAAAAAAAAAGAATGTTACCTATTAAATTTGAAATAGTCGTTTTACATTAATTAGTAGAAAAGAATGGGATGGTGAGTATAGCAACATCGATTTTCCTTAGTCTCTGATCGACCCTCATACCTAATACTTGACAATCGCAGTTGCAGTCACATAAAACTACGAGAAACTAAAAATCGCGAGCAATTGCTTGAACACTTATTTTGTTTGAAACGACTACGATAACGAATATTGGTGATAGGAAATATATGTATAATAAAAAAAGCAACTAGCATTGCACTACATAATTATAGATTACTAGCTACTTCCGCGCGCTTTCACACGCTTTGCTCAGCTTCTGTTGGTCGTAGCGTGATGTTTTATAGCCTATAGCCATCCTCGATAAATGCGCTATACGACACAAAAAGAATTATTCAAATCAGACTTGTAGTTACGGAGATTAGCGCGTTCAAACAAACAAACAAAAAAACAAACTCCTCCGCTTTATATAAAAGTATATGATAAGATTAACGTTGAAATTGTTTGCTAAACGTTATCACGGCTTCAAATCAAAATTACAAATCTTTATTCATTTAAAATCATCTGATGTCAATATCATCCAAATCTCATCCCTCAATCAATAATAAATCGTATAACTAAGTAGGTTTGAGTTCAAAATAGCACAAGCATTAAAGCAAGCACCAGTAATGAAGAAATACACTTCCCAATGTAGGAGGTGGTAGCCCTACACACATGCAAAAGGTTTCCAGCCACATTATTGACAACAAAGTAACGCTTAACATTTATGTGTTCCTGGTACCTGGGGCTGACAATTGCTTTCAGCACTTTCACCTTTGCTGGTTAACTATATATGTTATCTACATAATAAGAGCCTTAAATATCACCTTTTATTCCCAAAAGCAAGTATTTAGTTTAAACAATGCAAAAATACTGTTACTTGAAGAGCATGCTTAAATAAATTAGTGGACTATATCCGAATCATAATACGGCTGAAGTGGTACAACTGTACTAGGCGGGATGGACTCGCACCTATTGAGAAAGAATTGTAATCGGCCAGCTTTATTACGGCCAGTGTCGGTTCGCGCACCATGCAGGTTGTATAGGCGCTATACCTAATCCAATATGATAAAACCGCCTACCATGGGTAAAAATTAGGACTATACTTCAGCAGAGTCACAGGCGTCGAAATTGTGGTACATCCTCTTTAGACAAGACCTATATTCCAGCAATAGGCAGTTACGAACTGTTGATGATTACTAAATCAGTATGTAAAAGTATTTGTATCATATACTTATTAAATAACCCCCGAGAAATAAAATGCGTAATCTAACGTCATACTCCACTGTAATAAAAAAAAACACACGCACATATCTATACTAAATTGTTTACGAATAAACCCATGCATAACAAAATCGATGCTAATGCAAAGTAATCGATTCTTAAAGCTTAAAATCGGTTTGCACGAAATAGAAAACGAATACCAAATATAGCCTTGGCTGTATAAGTCTTGTATGAGAAAAAGTCATATAAGACTCATACACGTCTCGTACAATAGGTAAACAATGTCACTTTTGGGGACTCGTTACGTAATTTTGTAATCGCGTGAATTTTACACCGATTGTCCGATTATTGTTCGATTATAAAAACTGTTAATGTTGTCAAAGTTTAGTATTGTCTTTTGTTTATTTGTGTGTTTGAGAAGGATGTAATTATTAGGTGTTAGGTAGGAATAAAAAAATAATTGATGAGGTTTATTAAAATGACAACTTTCATTAAACAATAATTTATATGGCACACTTGAAAAAAATCTATTAATTAACAGGTGCATAAAGTAAAAATTGTCTACAATAGTGACAATTATCGATTCTTGAGCGAAGATTTACAATCGGAATTTGCGATTAGCATGCAAACATAATTATATTTAATCGATTATTTTATAATTTTTATTATAATTTTGAATTAGAAACTTCTTGACACGGATTTTTTTAAATATTTAATTTTGTTTATTTGTTTTTAGTTATTTGTCTCCACAAAATGTAAATATATAGGTGTAAATAATTTTCTTTTTATTGTAAATATTTATAAGTGTACATAAAAGATGCATGTTAATATTTAAGTCTTAAATATAAGTTTTATTTCGTTCTTCGTACAGAAATGAATATGTAAATAATAATTCTTTGTACTTAGTACCTATATTACTTTATTATAAGTAGGTACTGCCCTTTGTGGGCCTTCCCCTTTTATATTTTCTCTAGATATCTAGTAAACATGCCCACATATTACAGCCAAAGGGTTTATACAAGTCTAATTTTAAATACTTTTTGTAATCGTTTTGAGACTGTAAATATCGGTGGAATCGGTAAAATTGGTAATCGGTAAATTCGGGCAAAAATTACAAATTGTAGATTATTCCTTCTAAATTACTAACCATGTTATTTGGTTATTTGTATAAACCCTTTCTTCTATTATATTGTTATTATGTGTATATTTTATGAATATAGATTAATTGTAATATGTTTTACAGAACCAAGAAAACGTAAGACTGGTACGTACACTCAAACATAAAAATTTTTATGTGTAATCTTTTCATTTTGGGTCCATCACTGATCATCTTAATATTTTGGAGTTTAAAAATTGTTTTGAGATTACATTTCTAAATCAATACAAAACTTTAAAAAATATAATTTGAAATGAAATGAAATAAAATGAAATGAAAAAAGTTTTATCTCAAATTATTCTTTTATGACGACTCAACTATTTACTTATGTATTTTATTACTGGGTAAGGGTTTTTAACTTTTGACTAATAGATTTTGATCCTAGTGGTGACCCAAAATATGTACCTCATAACAAATTTGCTACACTCACACCGTCTTTTGCTGATAAACAACTTATTAAGAGCACACAATATTAAATGTTTATTCATTTGGACTTCAACAACTAGAACTCAATGCATCACATGGCTCCTTTTGAGCATTAGCACTAGTTCTGGAATAAAATATTGTTCAAATGTGCATTAAAAATGTATGGCTTGTAGTACTTCTATATAAAACCATAATATAAACATTATCTAACTGATATTAGTAAAGTTATTTCTATGTTTGCAAGCAAAGGACACCAATCACACTCACTTCACGCTTCTAGAACTCACTTCTTGTTACTTCTTGATGTTTAACTAGTCTTCTTATAACTTCTAGACACCTTTACATTCACACAGCTTTGCCCGCAGCACTTGCGTGGCACTTCTTTCTATTTTTTTTATAGGTTTCTTTATTTGAACATTATTCAAAAATATTGACAATTTTAGGTCGTTCTTGGAATTTCACATAACATTACGTCTTTTCATTGCTGATACGATAAAGGTGCTCAATTTTTTTTTCTTTTTTTTGTGGCATAAGCCGGTAAACGAGCCCTTAGACACCTGGAACACCAGAGGCGTTACAAGTGCCATACCGGCCTTTGGAGGATTAGGAGTTTGAGGATCGTTGGGGATTCAGGGATTGGGGAGATTGGGGAAGGGGAGGGTATTTGGGACTCCGGTAACCTCACTCACACGACGAAACACAACGCAAGCGTTGCTTCACGTCGGTTTTCTATGAGGCCATGGTATCACTCCGGTCGAGCCGGCCCATACGTGCCGAAGCATGGCTCTCTCACACTTTTTTTTGCGTTTAATAAAAGTGATTTTGCGTCTCCAAAATTTATGGTATGAATTCTAGGTAATAGAAACCAAACCAATTTTTTTATGAAATCGCAAGGAACCATTCCAGATTCTGTGTCATAATGGAGAAGGACGATTTAGAAACAGAATCGACGGAATATTTGAGTCTTTCATACATGTAAATAATAGCATAGATAACTAATAATAAATGGTGAAACATACCTAATTGACAAATAGATTTTCCTTCTTCCTTCTTACTACGCATTCGGGAAACAAAGAAACGAATCTGTGCTGTTGAATTTTAACAGCACCATCGCACCAGATGATAAAGTGTGATTATATTCAAATCATTTACACGGTACATAATTTTATTATTTCGAATCGTCATATTTATGTTTCTAATTAATTCATCATACTTTCCACTTGTCTTCACTTTCTATACGTTTTTGTCTGTTTCTATTATTATTAATGCCAGTTTTGTACGGTCTTATGATTTTTTTTATGGAATAGGAGGCAAACTAGTAGACGGATTACCCGATGATAAGCGATCAGATCGGCAATACCCGAGGAAGTTTAACTTCAATCTTCTTCTACTAAAAGACTGACAACGCTCTTGTAGCTTTTCTAGTGTTGTGGGTATTATTGGCCGGCGTCAACTGATCCATCCCGCGCCCCATATAAATGTCTCGTTAGTCATAATCGAGTTTGTCAATTTGGCTTCGACCTCATTTAAACTGTCAAACACCAAGCGGTCACCGGTGACCGCAACCTATTGTTCTATAATTGTGTCTACAAAACCGGTACTCGACGAGTTAAAGGGTTAGCTTATCCTGTTTTCCTAACCAGGTCGCTTTGGGAAGGATCTGGATTTGTGCTTGTGCCATATAGAACTTTAAAAATGTCTGTACGGAGTATGGATTATTCATTTGTGGTAGTAGGTTCTCCTTTTATTAGCAACATAATAAGCAAAAAAGTGCACCTTTATCTACATACTTCTTCAGCAAATATACGTATTGTTATGTTCTGTTCCTCTTATTTTACTCTTTAATAAACTTTATTCTACTTAAAATATTTCATCATTATCTAATTTGTATGCAAATGTAGTAGGCCGTTTAAGAAAAAAGTATATTCTTTTTTTACTCCACTTTTAGGTGTCAAAACCGTAAATTAATTAATGTAAATAGTTCTTAGAATAAATTATAACATTTTTTTTTTATAAAACTGTCTTCAGTTATTCCTTTTTTATGTGTTTCTTTTAAGTTTTGTAACTATGTATTTGTAGACTCTTTGTTTCTTTTTCTTTTGTTGTGTTTAATGGTATCTATGTCTATGTTTTTCTTTTGTCTTCTTCCTTCTGTACTTTGTAGTTAGATTTAATCTTTTCTTACTATGTCTTGTAGTTTAGTATGCTTCTAGTTTCTATGTAGTTGCTTATTTCTTAGTTTGTATTTAGATCTACTAATATTTGTTATTTTATTTACTTAATAAATAGTAATCATTTGTATTCTTAATTCTGTATCTGTGCAGTCTGTACTATGTAATAACTTCTTGTTTCTTTGTCAAGATTTGTTTTTATTCTGATTGAAGCGATTCATATTTTTGACTGGTTTAATTTAAATGTAGCCTGAAACATCTCAGATGAGAATATTTGTCGTATATTTTATTTTTTTAAGGTAATTACGTTTTTCTGTGTTGATCTGTACATAATATAAACGACTGATGGAATAGATAACATTTGAATGCAATTCTCAAAGATATCTTAACAACTATTTTTGTCTTTAATCAAAATATGAACAAGTCTTGACTTGCCCAACTCATTATCTAATTACTCTACTACTCCTTCATCTTCTGTCGGATTCAACCTCTTGAAGATTCTTCCAAGAACATCTTACTGGTAGAAAGTAGTTGGTGGAGGACTTCAAACACTTGGATGCTCATGAAGATCATGGTTTCCAGCGGACCTCCAGGCTGATAAGCAGATGGAAGTAGATGATATGGTGAATAACCTTCTGCAGTGGATCCAGGGCCTTTACCAACAGAAGAACAGGAAAGGTGCAGAGTAGTTTTAAGATTTAGATTATATTTTAGTTTTAAATGCGATTTGTTATTACTGTAGGAGTTTTAGGAAATAGGTATTTTGTGTAGCTTGTTAATGCTTATGAAGATGTTTCTCAATGTTCATTGTAGTTTCTATGATCTTAAATATACATATCGTACAAATAATTTGGTCTCAACAATCAGATACGTATGGTTTAAGTTTTACTGTCGAAGGCAAATCCTCAGCTAACATAGGTCAACATTGCGCAATACGGCGTTGAATGTATTAATAAATATACGTAATAAACTTCAAAGTCTTCGGTAGGTCCTTAAACACGAAATCACAAATCACTCTTTCCAGCAAAGCACAAGCACACTTGGGTTGCAGTCAATAAAACATCAATTAGTAGAAATTGTACTAATTTCTCCTTCATATACTTTCAGCTCGTCAGTACTTCGGAGGGAAACCAGAGAAACCGAGGCCCTTTGAACCGGCAAATAACTATCTTCCACCTGCCACTGGATACCCAGCTGCTGGAACCCGTCCATCTCCAACCTACAACGAGGGACCTTCGCCCAGTCCCAGCCAGCCATCATACCAGCCCAGCGAGACCTACCAACCACCTGAACAGTCTTATCAATCGAGTTACAAGCCTAGTCTTCCTACACAACCAGCTTATCAACCATCTCAGCCATCCTATCAACCGTCTCAACCTTCTTACTCTCCTAGTCCATCAACTCCTAGCTACCAGCCTAGTCCATCTTCACCATCTTACCAGCCGTCTCAACCAGAACAGCCATCTCCAAGCTACCCATCTTCTCCTAGCTACCAGCCCTCGCAGCCATCTCAACCTAGCTACGACTACTCAAAACCAAGTTACCAACAGAGTCAGTCAGACCAAACCACACAATCAATCTACGTGTCATCTGAAACTGGTAGCATCAATACTGGCTCCTCTAGTTCTATTTCCACTTCTAGTTCAAGCTCTGGTTCTAGCAGTATTAGCGGCTCCATTTCTCAGACCACACAAACTCAAGTACAAGTTGACGATGAAGACCGACACCCTCCACACATTCACGAAATTACAGTCGACTGTGGCAAGGAAATGATGACCATCAACATCGAATTCAACAAAGTATACAATGGTCTCATCTATTCTCAAGATCACTACAACGAACCTGAATGCGTCTACGTTAGAGAGAACTCCAACCAGGCTAAATTCTCCTTCACAGTCAGCTTGAACACCTGCGGCACACGATTCTACAGCGATTTCGAAAACGAGGGTCAAGCCTACTTAGAAAATGTTCTTGTACTACAAAACGAAGTCGGTATTCAAGAAGTCTGGGATCACATTAGGAGAGTCAGGTGTCTTTGGGAAGGGAACTTGAAGAAACAGCTGGTCCACTCCCTCAGTGTCGGCATGTTGAACCAGATCACTAGCAACTTCAGCGGAGATACTGCTATGGCTAGATTAGACATTCAAGTAGGTAGAGGACCTTTCGCTCCTGAAGCTAACGGTTTAGTCAAGATCGGAGAAACTATGACTTTAGTCGTATCTGTGACTGGAGACGCTGGATTTGACATCCTCGTTAGAGAATGTATCGCTAGGGATTCAGAGAGCCGTAATGTTGTTCCTCTGACCGACAGCAACGGTTGCGTTCTGAAGCCCAAGGTCTTTGGTGCCTTCCAAAAAACACGAGACACTGGAAACACTGGTGCTTCAATCATTGCATTTGCCTTCTTCAACGCTTTCAAATTCCCTGATGAAATGGACTTGATTATTCAGTGTGAGGTCGAACTTTGCAAGACTGACTGCGACGTATGCCCCAACCCTGGAAGTATTGAGCCTAGGAGGAGACGACGAGACATTATCCATGTTGGAAACAGCACGAAGGAACCTTCCACGATTATCGGTAAAGGATTAAGGGTCGTTTTAGCTGAAGATCTTCCTGAAGCTACAGGTTTCTGTTTATCTCCTCCTGCTGCCTTATGGGGTGGGTCTCTAGTACTCATCTCGTCTTTGATGAGCAGTATCCTCGTCTCATATTGTTGGCAGAAGTCCCGAGGATCTGCTAAGTTTTCGTAAAGTATTATAAACTGGCATATTTTACCTATATTTATAGAAATATGAACCGTGTGCTGAAAACTCCATACCATTGTTGAAATCCCATAAGTATTTATAAAGATGTATGAAGGAAATATTTGCGGGAATTTAAAGAATATATTGTACAATATTATGGTAGTGTATAGTTGCAAAATGATCCTACTTAAAATTGGTTGCACCAAACTTTTTATGACAACCTATCAGTTTCTTAATTTTTTATCTCTACCATTTTTACTACATTTATTGCGACATTTATTACTACATTTATTAAAACCTTATGACGAACGAATGTACTTATCCCATTTCCATTCTCACTGCCCAAGATCACATAATGGAACGTTCAAGCACCAAAAGTTTTATCAAATTATAATGACGTTAGAACTAAGAATGGATTGCCTATGTGAGTCTGCTATGGGAAAATCTGCAGTATTCCACACATTTGATTGGTGCGTGAGATAGCGTCTTGCGCTATTCAGTTTTTTGTTTCCATTCTTTTTATTGTCATTGTCTTCCGTCAGTAAAATTGCGAGGCTTATGCCATTGGAGACGTCTATATGTTTGAAGTATCTGCGAATTCTTTATTGTTCTTAGTCTTATCAATTTGATTTGTGCTGTAAATTAAGTACTGTAACATACAAAGTTCTATATTAATGGATGACTCTAAAACTTGAGATGCTATTTACATCATCGATACGTAGGTTTTTCGTTTGGTGGTAGTTTAGAAAAACCCACACAGATGTGTGTCAATGTCAAATGCGTTAAAATACTTAAAGTATTGAATTCAACACTGCCAATACAATGCTATGTAAATTATAAGTTGTGTAATGTTAATTAGAACTATGCAATAACTCATAGTCAGATCCATTGCACTTATAAAGGTGCTAAGAAAAACAATCAAACCTCTTTCTTTCTATATTTACGAAAGAAAAATTACGAAAAAGTATTTTTAGATTATCAACTTTATCTTATCTAAGTGTAGTTATAAAATACAATGTAACTATAATAATGTAATTAAGTTATTAATTCTATTTTGTAAATATTAGAATTAAGAATTTTTGTAAGTATTAAAATCTATTTGTAAAACATGCTTTTATTTTTCTTTTGTGATATCTCTGACGAAGTTTCGCGGTGGGTGACAGAAATAACGTATGTAGGTAACTGAGTATTGAATTGGGTACATAAATGTAATACCTTTTATTTCTCAAAGGGGTAGTTGGGTTCATAGACATTGTCAGAGTCGCAGGGAGCCAGTGGATGCAGGTGGCGAGTTGTCGTTCGCTATTGATTTGGTAGGAATTTAATTTATTTTATTTACTAGCTTCTGCCAGCGACTTCGTACGCGCAATCCCGTTTTCCCCCTTTCCCATAGGATTTTCAGGATATAGGATTTTTTAAAGTCATAAGAAACTTCTCCTAATAATAACAAATACAACAAAAAAAGAATTAGTGAAATCGGTCCAGCCATTCACGCGGGATGCCGTGGCCAAGGGGAAAGGGATTCATTTTTATATATTTAGATTTATTATTTAATTTAAAAAAGGATCTCCGATAAAAGATGTGCACATGATATGAAAACCTTATAAAATATCAGGTTAGGTAAGTACACTCTTCCAACTAAGTCAATAACATATTTTTTTGGCAAGTTGGCAAGAAAAGCACACAGCCCGCCTGATGGTAAGCGGTTACCGTGGCCTACGAACGCTTGCAACACTTGGGGCATTACATACCTTGCCGACCCTGATTAAAATCTGTAGTTGAGATAGACTAGACTTTGTTCAGCTATGGACGTCTTGTGGCTAGTGATGATGATGATCATGAAAGTTGGGTTGGTGGAAATGTACATTATAGCATGTTTCTTTTCCTCAGGCTATACCGGTTATGTTATTGTCATCCTAAAAAAAATCCCTTATTCCTCATCCCTTGTTAGGCGGTCGAGGTAGTTTCAGAAGATATAATATACACAATTTCACGTTTTGTATCCCCGTAGGGATAGGCAGAAGTGCACATTACGGCAGTTAATGCCCCTGTACAATGTAACACCCACTTTTCACCATGTTATGAGTCCTATGTAATAGGCGGTGAGCGTATTGCCATATACCGGGCACATTTCCAGACTCCGTGCTACTAATGAGATTAAAAAAAACCCAGTAATACTTTGCCCGACCCTGAAATCGAACCCGAGGCGCCCTGCAAACGCACTTGCGACTACTCAGCCAACGAGGCAGTTATAAGATATTGTTGTTCCTAATAATCATTATTTTCAAATGATTAGCGAAATCGAATCGAATGATATGAACAAAATACCTTCACGCATAAGAAACCTGCACTCATTCAACGCATTCAAAACTCAGCTTTACAAATATTTACTTCTTAATCAAATACCCGAAAAATGAATGTGTTGGATGGGACTTGTTTATTGTCATGTTTTGTCCAGATGTTGTCGAGCCTAACCTTACCTACCTATGTTGTTATGTTCTCAAGTAAGTGACATGTATGTTATTATTGAGAATAAAGATTCTTTAAACCTAAATACGACGTTACTATAAGCCACTACTGACAATGACATAACCCAATTACCTAGAGGTACATGAAAGGCTACTGTATACCAAAATTAAATTTATCATTTCTCGATGCAAGCGTGAATTACTTTATTATGATCAGCATAACGGAACTATTGTTGTATCTTATTGTAACTAGACAAACAGTGTAACGTTTCATGACGGAACACGGCTGCACATGAAGCTGAACAACCAGTATAAACTGACCATTAATTGTGGGGAGAGATCGTACACAGCGAAGTCATAATAAAATGGTTTTGTTTAGCTCGATGTGTTAGCTTTGTATGCAAGGTAGGGTCACGGGCTCTGTTATCTTATCAGTATTTATCGGCGATAGTGTGAAGAGCATTGCATATTACTAGTTTATTGGTCTGACTGACTGTTTTCTTCGATAGAATATGAGTTTGATGATGAAGTCAATAGATGGCGCTCACAAGAAATAAGACATAAAAGTGCGATTTAACACGGATTTTGCGCATAACCAATAGTTGTTGGGCATTAATCTTACAGAAGATTCTTTTTTCTGAAATTAGGGACCGTCACAAGTACGTACCTAACTACATCAATAGTTTTTTTATATTTCATAGGTTGACGTTTGTCCACCAGCTCGTCTGGTGGTAAGCAATGATGTGGCCGACGATGAAGCACGCCTACCTATGAGCAACCTGTTCACTCGGTACTTTTATTTATTTATTCAAGCATCATGCACAAAATGTACATAAGGTGGACTTAATGCCGCAGGCATTTTATTCCAGTCTCACCTTTTGGGTCATACAGAGAAGAGTTAATGGTGTGAGCAAGAAGCAAGCAACGATTTAATAGAGCAAATAAAATAGATACACTTATATATTACAGAAATAAACTTAATTATAATATAATACCTATGATAATAACCAACACACAAGCACAATACAATATACATACATGCATTCATACATATATACATATATACATACATACTTAAATAAATATAGACTGTGAGTAATTAGCGTGATGATTCAGCCAATCGCTCCAAGAGAAGTTCACGAACTTTCTGCTGAAGAAGGTTATATTTGCCGGGACATACAGATTCCGACAAGGAATTCCATTCGTAAGCGGTTCGCGGAAGAAAGCCTGACGCAAAACGCTTCATGCGTATGGGTGGAATGTCCACCATTGGTATAAGAGTAGCGTCTTGTCGTCGTCTGGTGGTACGGTAATGAAATGGACTAGTAAGAATAAGGTTGTGCAATTCCCACGCACAGTTATAAAACGTTAGATCCTTACTCCCAAAAACCGTGTGGAAACGGCAGAGTAGAATGCTTTTGTCCCTGCTCCTAATCTTGCTGCAGGTTTCAAGATTCGATTAGGAGAATATATACATACATAACATCATTTGTTCTCGAAGGGGTAGGCAGTGGAGCACATTACGGCACTTAATGCCACTGTACAATGTAACACCCACTTTTCACTATTTATATTATGAGTCCTATGTAACAGGGGGTTCGCCTATTGCCATATACTGGCCACTTTTCCATACTTCTTGCTACAACTGAAATTTTTTTAAAAAATCCAGTAATACTTTGCCCGACCCGGGATTCGAACCCGAGACCACTTGCCGGGCAGTCGCACTTGCGACCACTCGGACAATGAGGCAGTCTGAGACTACACAATATATGTAAACCAGGAAACAGAACTCTTATAAACCTAAACCTTTTTAAAGTTTCTTAAGTGCCTGCTAAGCGTTTAGCTTATAATGAACTCTCTGATGAAGAGGCCGGGAGGCCCGTAGTACAGAAATTAATTGTCACGGACTGTATATGGTTATAATAGTCCCTACCTATAAGACTGGGCCTGCGGACTGCAAGCATGGATAACTCGCTGTCCGACCAGCACCAGATCAGAGCGTACGGCGCGTCACGTTCCGCGCGCGCCTCAAGGAGCCATTAGACCACCACAGATGGGGCCCAATAGGGCTGATGCCGATATGAAGCCAAGGAGGACTTAACGGGCTGCCGAGGCTCCGGTTCGAAGTGCAGGAGTAGGAATGGAGTGGTTTTTAGTCAGTAAGAGTCTGGACTCTCCTCGTCTCACCCGGGCGGGAGAAGTCATTGGATGATTTTATACTCTCAAAACAAAAAACAACTTATATGACACCATAACGATAAAAATGCCACAGACACTAACTTAAGTACTTGTCACTTAGTAGCATGTGTATAAGATTGTTGCTCGAGCATGCTAATTTCGGGCATGTTTGCAAATTGCAATTTTTTATTGTATTGTCATTATTTTGTTATACTTTGTTATTTCTTTGTTCTTGTCTTAACTTTTTTTTTATAGTTTAAGCCGGTAAACTAGCATACGGATCACCTGATAGTAAGCAATCGGCACTGCCCATAGATATCTGAAATACCAAGGTGTTACAAGTGCGTTACCGGCCTATTGGGAATTGGGAATTTGAGGATTGTGGAGGATTCGGGGATTCGGGAGTGTAGGGAGAGGGAGAGGGGATAATTGGGCCTCCTGTAACCTCACTCACACGACGAAACACAACGCAAGCGTTGTTTCATGCCGATTTTCTGTGAGGCCGTGGTATCACTCCGGTCGAGCCGGCCCATTCGTGCCGAAGCATGGCTCTCCCACACTTAAAACTAAAAAAACTCCTTTAAGTTCATTATTGTATTATGGTATGTATACGTATCTGTATTCTGTATATTTTTAAATTGGGATGACGACAGGGTATGAAAATTAAAAATGTAATTAGTCCGTAAGTTGGGTAATGAAAAAATATTCGAAACGTATTTTTTTTGTCATATAATAGAACATAACATAACATAACATCACGCCTTTTATCCCCGAAGGGGCAGGCAGAGGTGTACATTATGCCACTTTAAAATGTAACACCCACTTTTCACTATTTATGTTATGAGTCCTATGTAATAGGGGGTGAGCCTATTGCCATATACCGGGCACAATTCCAGACTCCGTGCTACTACTGGGAATTTTCGAAAACCCCAGTAATACTTTTGCCCGACCCGGGAATCGAACCCGAGACCCCTTGCCCGGCAGTCGCACTTGCGACCACTCAGCCAATGAGGCAGTCTGAGCATAATAGAACAATACTTCGATAAAACGCATCAAAGTTTCTGGAGTCTGACACATCTGTAAGAAAATAAAAAATACGTGTCTAATGATTTAAAATAATATACCAGACGGATATTAAAATAATAATTTGGCATCTACCCTATTATCTTTGTACCTGTGTGCCTACTGTTGAATAAATGCTTTTTTTCTTTATTTCAATCGGCGTTCGATTTTTGAACATTTCGAGCATGGATGGCCGATTAATAGAATGCCTTTAGTCCCCGCACTAGCATTCAATAGCGCGGCTAGCCGCTCCCTGCGGTTGACCACTTTTCTAATTTAATATGCAACTGCAATGGCAACCGCGGTTGTCGATA